ACCTGCCTCTAACCGGCTCCGTAATGGCTCCTCGTCATGAGAGAGAGAGCGAGAGAGAAAGGCAGAGGGAGAAACAGGCTCCCAAGGAGCAGGGAGCCCGACGTGGGGCTCGATCCCAGGAGCCTGAGATCACAACCTGAGCCAGAGGCAGATGCTTAACCGACTGAGCCACTCAGGTGCCCCAATATTCAGTTTATTTTTAATATTTAAATAATTATTCCACTTAGAATTTATTTTTGTGATATAGAGGCTTACCTCTGTTTTATCCCAGGTGGTTATTCTGGATAAACAATTTTGCTGATACTTTTGTTATATATTATTTCCACTTATGTATGTATGTATGTATATATTTCCAGTTTTATTGAGATATATTATTTCCATTTATAGCAGATTTATTTTAGGACTCTAGACAGTTCCCCTGATCAATATGACCAATTTGTGGGTTGGTACTATCTTTAACAGATGAAGGGACACATTTGGAGAGACTGGGTGACTTGCTCAACATTCCCTAGCTGTTAAGAGGGAGAGCTGGGATCTGACCCAGGTCTACCTGATTTTAACTACTATACTACATTAATTCTCTTTGGGAATGGATATTTTTGGAAAATTCCAAATCTAGGGGCGCCTGGGTGGCTCAGTTGTTAAGCGTCTGCCTTGGGCTTGGGTTGTGATCCCAGGGTCCTGGGATCGAGTCCCGCATCAGGCTCCCTGCTCAGCAGGAAGCCTGCTTCTCCCTCTCCCACTCCCCCTGCTTGTGTTCCCTCTCTCTCAAATAAATAAATGAAATCTTTAAAAAAAAAAGATCAACCTATTAAAAAAAAAAAATTCCACGGGCACCTGGGTGGCTCAGTTGGTTAAGTGACTGCCTCGGCTCAGGTCATGATCTCAAGGTCCTGGGATCGAGCCCCGCATCAGGCTCCCAGCTCGGCGGGAAGCCTGCTTCTCCCTCTCCCACTCCCCCTGCTTGTGTTCCTTCTCTCGCTGTCTCTCTCTACGTCAAATAAATAAATAAA